TGCGACAGTTGTGACGACATGCTGTACGGGATGTGTGCGAAAAGGGTAAGCTTACGCTGTTTTCCAAGCTGTATTGGGTGCATGCTCTGGTGTGTTACGTGTCGCGTTTATTTGCCTGCTCCATGCTGCATGTGTCCAGTCTTGCACCGCAAAGTTTCGTAATGACGTTGTGCAGCTTTTCAGGTTGCTGGAGATTCAAGAAACACGGTGACAACTATCTTCTTGTGCTGGTGTATCGGGCCAGTGCGGGGCCTCGCCATAGCTAAATAGACCGAAGACTGGGCGAGATGAGATAAGTGATGCTCATGAAGGACAGTGTCAGGCGCTTAGACACTTCGACGCGCGAAAACATATGCAGGACCCCACTGTCGGAAGCTTGGTGAAATACAGTTTGAAATCAATCTCGAACCGATGTTTTCATTGCTTCCCTTTGCTTCTCTTTTCTTCCCAATGCGGCTTCGCCCTCCGATGAGATCTGGGTCCGGGCGGACACCACACGTACAGATCGAGGAGGCGTGTGGTGGGCCAAACAAAACATGTTGCAAAATGGTTGGGTGTTCATTGCCCCCCCCCTCCCCATCTCTTACTTATGTTCTCGACCGGAAATCGCCCACGGGCTCAATGCATTCGCTCATCGAGCATCTGATCTCGGCCATCGGCCAACACACACATGGTTCTTGCAGCGATTTGCTGGAGCCAGTCTGATGCTTTGCCTACGGCCCAATGCCCGAAACAGGACAGCCCCCAAAGGCATGAGTGGGCCTTCCGCACTCTCCGAGACCTGCGTCGCCGCCTCAGAGCTAAGCTGGAGCAGTATGCGCATACACCCGTAATAAACCTGATTTTGTAGGTCCTGCCTGGGCAGCGTTTACAGCGGAACATGAGCCAAGTCGCTGTTCCTGCCCGAACCCCGCCCAAGGTCGCTGCCCAAAGCGAAGCCATGGTCCTGGCACGGGGCTGCGCGGCGCCCGCCGGTACCGAGCCTGGAGGCGGCATGTAAAACAGCACAGCCCACCACCTCTAAAAGCGGAAGAGTAAGGAAGTGCTGCAGGGCATTGCTCGGCCCTTCGGGCCCCGCCATGCCCCGCCTGCGAGGCGGTCCGAGCATTGGTCCGAGGCCCCTGCATAGTAGTCCGACCAGAGTGCCGCTCTGGGCGCCGGCAGCGGCGCAGCTGAGGCACCGCGCCTCAGCAGCTGAGGCACGATGAGGCACGCCTGCTGGCCATGGATGCACTGACAGGCCTCACCTTTACACTATGCTTTACCACTGCATCATCAATGACCCCAAGGCGCAACTGCGAACGGCACTGGGATAAGACTTCGTACGGCCAGGGTCGGCCTTCAAGGTTAAAGGTGGGAAGTTTGCCTGCCCAAGGCCAGCACCAGAGAAGCGTGGGAACCTGAAGTCCGAAGTCTGATTTGCGGAGCACTGGCGCTCGCATCTAAAGGATATAAGAAAACGGCTTGCAAGCTTTTTTATCCTCCAGGGCTCCCCGCACCGCCCTCCAGATGCAGGACCCGCTTCCGCGTCTGACGCTCTGATGGCGATCCCAGCGCGGCTTGGAGAAAGCGCACACCCTGGAGCAATCGGGACATGGTCACACGAAGAGACACTGGTAAGAATACCAATCTCGGCCAAGCTCTCACATATTATTCTCAACACCCTGTGTGCAGTCCTTCAGCGTCTGGTCCCATGCGAAGTGCGTGTGGCCAAAAAGGTGCAGCCTCTCAAACGACTCGGAACGTGCGGCATTCTACCCACAACTCGGGGCAGCCATAGCAGAAGACAACATCGAACACGGCTGCAGCAAATTCGGTCAGTAGCGTTGAGGAAACGATTCGTGCACTGGAAGACCGGATCCGTGCATAGGATTCGTGCAATGGGGCGCTATTCTTCTCAATCGGGGTTTGCGCCCCTCGGCTGCGGACGCTTCACGCACTGGCCCAGAAGATTCGCACTCGGGCAAAAGGGATTCGTGTACTGATGGTCCCGAGCTAACCGACAGGATGTGCATCGGGGATTTGCATCTTGGCAGTCCGGCTGAACCGAACCACGGCAGTTCTGGCAATAGCTCGGGCTCAGGACTAGGACCAAGATGCTCTTGAGCCAGCATGGACTTGAGCGCAAACCCCTTGTAAAACAGTTTCTTGACGAGCCCGAACAACTGCAAGCCTGAACCTTACGACCCCAAACCCGGTGACCCTAAACCCTAGAATCTTGAAATCCTAGAGCCGTAAACCCTAAAATCCAAAGCGCTCCGGCTCTCCTTGCCTTTGGATACCCACTCTAAATCCCAAGATCCTAAGGCTAAACCCGCCGGCGTCAAGTAGGAAAGCTGCAACCCTCACAACCTTCAATGCTACCCTAACACGTCGAGGGCTTAAGCTCGTGCTTGAATCGGCTGGTGCTTGAAGAATCGGCGGTTGTGTCGCATCGCAAGCACTTCAACGGACAGAATCAGCAGAGGCAGAGCGTGCGTTTTGAAAGGATCGAGGTCCCGGCGTTGGCTGGAGCCGGGACAAGCGATCTGCGAGGAAGCGCGAGCCGGAAGCTTTGGCCAACTGCGGGAAGTAGAGAAATCGCCTCAAGTGGGCGTCCCACGACACACGTTGAGACCCAACGTCAGAGCCCTGAGTATCCTGAGCCCGCAACTTTTCCGGCAAGAGTTCTAGCCGAGGCAGGAAGTGTGACATCGACAGCACCTGATGGCGGACTCTTTCAATTGATGGCTCCCACAGACTACTGAAACGGAAATCGTTCAGATGCAGGGACTTTTGCACGCTTCTCAAAAACTCTTGCAAAGCAAGTGCCTCGCCTCAAGTCTGCTGAGCTCCTGACATGTTCGCCACGCCTCCTCGCTGCGACCGCGTCCTGGAAGCTCACCTTTGCCGATCGACTTCCCAGCACATGCAAAAGGCAGCAAAACCAGCATGAGTCAGAGCTACTGTCGGCTGCCAGCCGAGAAGTTTGCAGTGACTCCGCTGTGTCAAGGTTCTAGGTGCGGGGAGCACATGACAGTACATAACTTAAACAAGTGCACCGTAGGGGGGTTCATGATAGTGAACTTGTGAATGGATGATTTGCAGGTACATCTTGGAATTCATGCCGATGTCCACTTCACAGGTCTGGCATTGGAGTTCTAGCAGCAGCTTCGAGTATTCTACCGCACTGTACGAAGGGCAGCACAGCACCGATCGTGCATGAGAACAGGGCCATCTCCATGCTCACGCTCGAAGAAGAAGACTGAATCACCTGGTTCCAAGACGGCTTGGAATTACGCATCTGTTCGCAAGGAACGCCTTCTACAACAGATTATACTAGCATGCGGCCCCTGCACCCAGATCGGGGTGAAAAGACTGGCGAGTGACGGCACCGTTCGTCGCCTTTTGCTGTGTTTGCAGCTGCTCCCACTCGGCCTTCTCCGTCGCGTGCTTGTCGTTTGCTGCCTCAAACGTATGGATGCTGCCACCAACGTGCACATGATCCTTAAACGGCTCAAGCAGAAGCCTGTCAGGACTCTTCCAAGGCCCAAGCATCAAAGCACTGGGCCAAGCTTCGGTTGCGCTCCGCCTGCGGGAAAGCCGAAGCCGAGAGCGGAGCGGAGCGGAGCGGAGCGAGCGCAGCCAAGGCGAAGGCCGGCGTCTTGCCGAGTCGGCCCGGCCAGCTGCACTCGATCTCGTCCCCAAGCAGCCTTTTTTTTGCCGCACCGCAGCGCACAGCGTATCACAGCGCAGCCCGCTCTGGTCCGCTCTCCGCGCTCCGTTCGGCTCTGCGCTTAAGGGGGCTGCTCTTGGCCTGTCAAAGCGAGCCAGGCCGACGCTATTCGGCCATGTCTCCGCGCCGCAGCCTTGGACCACACCGGGACATCCGGCCTTGGCGGACCGAATCAGAAAACTGTGCGGATGGGAATGGGCTCGAGGCACCAGCTCTGAGTCGAATTCCTCAGTTGAAGGGGGGAAGGTCGGCAGAAGCCTGTTGAACCCAATTCACTGCCGCAGCGCACCTCGTGGTACCATGAGAGGAGCGGGACAATCGTCAGTTTCTGGCAAGGAAAGCGGACAGGACGAGTCCAAACCTTGTAGCTGGTCAGCAATTCCCGCTGCGACTGCTCCAAGGGCTCTCTCTGGCCGCGGCTCCCATGCGGGCGCACTCATCCAACAACCTGCGATGGTGCTTGCCGCCTTTGGCATCCTTGGCCTTCGTCTACTCAGGCAGTTGCCTGCAGCAGTCTGACGGGCCTCTCTTGCTTCTCCAGAGAGCAGTCAATGCTGTCCTTGCTGCTGCCTTGGCCAACTTGGCACTGTGCGGAGTCCTTTGCGGACACGCGACGGAAAGATGTCGCACAGCGGAGCTGAGCTGCCACACCGACGTAGACGTCATGGTTGCCAGGCCTCGGTATGCTGGGGCCAGGATGAGAATGCACTGCTAGGGATCTCAACTGGGATGTTTCCAATGCTAAAAGGTGTCATCTCACCACTGCGGTGTTCAATGTCGACTTGCTTGGCAATCTTGTGAGATGCACCAGTGTAGTTCAACTAACCATGCCTGCCTACATACGGTCGTTTTGGGGACTGCCGTTATGCTTGTGAAAGGCCCCGGCTAACAAAAGCAGAGCTTCCGACACAAAGAAAACGTGGGCAAAGCGTCCCAAGAGAAGCCTCATGGTTCTCTTCAAGACGCCAAGGTCCTCGGCAAGGGCAGCCGATCATGTCTCGCACTTCAAGCATAGACAGCAGGCAGAGTTGAGTAGCCAGCATGAGAGACATCGCCGGCCACCAGCAGTGCGTCGTCCTTGAACGGCCCCACCTGAAACACCGACCATGCCGCGCCGGACACACGTATTGCCGTATAGCCAGGCTAAGTCGTTCGCTGGCAAAGCCGCCAAGTGGTCGAAGTTCTCCTCCCAGTCTGTATGCCTCCAACTGCTCAAGAGCCCGGTGCTCGTCCAAGGAATGCGAAAAGCACCGATGAGGGGCCGGCACATCTGAGATGCCGAAAACCTGCGACTCAATGCTTCTTCCAACTGCCATGCAAAGACTAGGCCACGAGATCCAGCAAGCAGCCGGGTAGCTCTCATCTGCTTCTGAGCACGGCGACTCACACGACGACAAGCACCTTGGAATCACTGGCACTGAAATGTCCGTGCCTCCGTTACCTCCATCTTACTTAATCCAGGGTGAGAAGTGACAGAATTTGAAGATGCAACCGCCAAATGCTGCACAACGCACCCCCACTCCTTAATTGCACTTCAAGTGGCGTCCGCTGGACACCAGGAGCAGAACTGGAGCCCAGTGCCTGGAGAGCATGGACCTCCACGTGCATCTGGAGCCGGAAGCCATCGGGATGTTGGCCCGGCTCTTGACGCCCAGCGCCAGGCGCTGCCATGTCTTGGTAGGAAGCCTGTCAGGGAAAAGATGGAGAAGGCCATGGATGAAGGGCCGGCAAAGGATCGCTGCGGCACTATTCGATTCCTTCCCTCCCTTCCCTCCTTGGTGTGGTCTCCATGGGCTTCCATTGCTTCGAGTCGGAAGAATGAATTGCACCGGCTCAGGTCACGCAACCGTTTGCCAAGGCAGACTCACGTCTACCTTACATTAAGCTGCAGTAGCCTTCATGCTGACTGTCGGAAAACGAGGCTCTCAACACTGGGAACCAGTGGCAAACTGCTCTAATAGTGGAGATCATCCAGCCCTGGAGCACAAGCCTCAAACCGACAAAGATGACGCTGCACCTTTTCGGCTTCGCAGGCTTCGCGCTTTCGGGCTTTGCCGTATCCTTTGCCGTGTCCGTACTTGGCCCAAATCACCACAGCCTTGCCCCGCTGCTCCCTGCTCTCGTCGGCCATCCCAGGCCCAGGCAGCGCGCGGGGCAAGGGTAAGGGCCCCGCAGGGGACCCGAGGCAGGCCTCGAGCGGCCGCTCTGCGAAGATGTAAATGTCCTGTGCGAACATGCCCCGACGTGGCCGGACAAGCCGGTGCCGCTCTAGGCCTTTGAAACCACTGGGTCCGGGATCGATGCCCTCCAGGATGTGCTCTGCCCAACGAGAAAAGCGGTCGTTGTTCGAGGGCATCGTTTTTGCATCCAGGAAGTCTCTCGCTGCAAACTGATGTTCGCCCAGCTGGTAAATGACGTCCTGCGTGAGGTGCCGCGACGTCGGAAAGCAGCACGGTACGAAAGCAAAACCACGGACATCGACGTTCTCGTTAAAGAGCTGCGCAGCACGAATCCCCAGTGTATTGCACAGGTGGATGCCGCATGCATACACTGGCGCCCATCGAGGATCCGCCTCCGAGACGGGTGCTCGAAAGACGCGCGCAGCAAGCTGGTTGAGGGTCGTCTTCTTTTTGAGGTCCACCTTCAGAGTGTACATGGGTATCTTCCAGCCCCCCTTAAGGTGCTCGATGGAGGTGGAGCCGCTGGAGTTTCCCACTCCCAAGTTGGGGTATGTCATGTCAAGGAGGAAGAACTTCGCCACGCGCTCCGGAGGCAGCAGCTCGGCCAAGAGCATCGACAGGAATCCGAAGCCTGCACCCAAGTCAACGATACAGGCCTTCGGGGCCGTGGCTGGCAGGGAATCGACCCATCTCCGCACTTTCTCAATGACAGGAGCGCTTTCGTTCAGCTCTTTGAGCACACATGGCACCTGATGGGCGGAACCCTTGCAGACCTTGACGATGCGGCTCCAGGTTTTCAGGTTAAAGCGCTTGTACCAACGCCCCAAAATCTCCACCACCTCTGCACAGAGATCTGGAAAGAGGCCCGCCACAGGCAGGAGGCGGAGCTGCCTGGCAAGACGGCGCGGGCCCATGCTCAAAAAGACAGCGCTTTTGATTCTGTACAGATTCTGTACGGGCTCCCCAGGCAAAAAAGTGCTCTCAATGAGATGGAAACTATCAACAAAAGGCAATGGCTAAGGGCTATGAGGCTCTCGATTCAACTGGTAGGAGGAGGAAAATTGTCCGTCACAAAATGCATCCAAAGAAGTGAGTTGACTTCACCTTAACACGTGTCGGAACTGCTCCGCCAGCCCTTCGGGGCTCCAGCGCGAGCGCGTGACATCATCGGTCGCTTCCAGCACTTCCTCCACATCCTCTGCCGGCAGCGGTGCTGAGGCAATACGGTCCAGTGCCTCCCAATGCTCTAACAAGCCGACGCGTCGCAGATCTTCGACGTCCATTTCTTTCCTATACAATGCGTGAACAGAAGCCTCATCAAACTGAAGTCCACAGATGAGATGGTGTTTGCACAAACTAGAGAACCTGTCGAAGTCATATAGGGACCATCAGCACCCTGGCTCATGATGTCGTGGTACATTACTTGATTCGTGGTACACTACTTGATTCAATCTTCCCAGTCCCGAAACAGCTGCTGCAGCAGAACACGTTCTAACATGTTCTAACACTCTCCTGCAAGTTGGGTACACTACTATAGCCAGCAGCCATCTTCCCACAGCCGAGTCGGACTTTGTGCCAAAGGATGCCGGTAAGCATCCTACACTACAGTCTGGCCCTTTCGGACTGTACAACCCCGCGACTGTCCGAGGGCACCCTCCCTGCCGGCACTTTGGCCGACTCTTCGGCAGACGATTCCCGCTTCCTCGTCTCGTCTCAGACGTCCACACTTCGAGTCCTCAACTCGCAGTTCAGTTCTCATTAGGATTCTGCCGCCGACAGCCAGCTGAGCCGTGCTCTGCATTTGCATCAGCTCGCGCACCAGCTGTGACACAAGTGGCAGCGAGCTCGGGGTGGCCGCCTGAAAAAGCAACGCTGCGTGTCTGTGACAACCTGCTTCCGTCGTGGTGGTGCCTGCACTTCGGCCACTGGTGGAGTTGCCGGGGCCTGGCAAGGACTCAAGCTTGTGCGTGCTTGCATGCCGCAATCATCGTCTAGCTCTGAGCTCGCAGATTTTGAAGGAGCTCCTGCTCCTCTGCGGGCCTCTTCGAGGTCGTCGCCGCCATGCGCAAGCTGAATCTCGTCAGCGAAGAACCTGCTTTCGGAGACGGTGCAAGATGTGGAGCGTAGCTTTGCGGGCATGATGGGCGCACGCTTCGCCCTCCATCTTGTAGACTTTGGGTGCTGTCGTCTCCGCCTTCAAACCTTGCGCAAACCCCCGGCCCCACGGCCCAAGCGCCCTCTGACGGCCTCGGAGAACTCAGCCTGCCCCAAGCGCTACAGCCGCAGGCTTGACGTCCTTTGCCACCTCTGGTGCCTAGGGCAACTGTGCACTGTCCCAGCCTTCTCTGGAAGTCTTATGCAGCTTCTCCGAGACCGCCTACCCCAGCATCGGGCCTCCGTCTGCGTCTCAACGGTACACCACGTCACTTCCGGAACGTCAATTTCGTGCTCCTCCTCACCTTGTCATCGCAGCTGCTTGTACCAGTATGCAGATATGACGCCCCCGACAGACCTAAAACGCTGCGCCGACCATGTGCAGATTTACTGTTCCAACCCCCAGTAAAAGGCCTCTGCGAGCCTCTTCCATATAGCTACACGAAATGCCGTCTGCACACGATCTTGCAGGAAAGCCTCCAGGCGGCAGAGCCACAGGTTCCAGGAGAAGTTCGCCACCTGCCACTGCGCAAGTGCATTCAGAGTACACATACCTTCAAACATGCTTCACGTCATGAGGTCTCAACACTGTCTAGATTCACACGTGTCCACGTAGGCCAGGTCCGTCTGCAGACCCGACCCGTCCTGCAAAAGGCTCGTGGCTGCCAGCGTAGACGCGCAGGTAGCAGGAAAGCCTCGGAACTAATTCAGAGTCCTGCGGAGTCGGGGTCGGGTCAAGGGCTTGTGTCTTAGTTCGGTGCTGCAGCTCCGGCAAGGATTCGTGGGCACTGGTCATCCTCACGGGCTTTCATGTGCTACGCCGATGCGTTCTTTGGAATTCTTTCAAGTTTTTGTCAGGCGTAACGACACGTCTCATTCGGCCAGGGACGTCTTCGGCGGCACTTTGGCCTTGCCCAGTCCCGGCATGTCCCGGCGCCCCGGTGGTGCTGCACGGATCGCAGTGTCTTCAGTCCGATGCGCTTTGCGTCGGCGTGAATGCTACAATCATTGCGGATTCTTGCAGTAGAACCCGATTCCTGACCGTCTGGACGCAACGGTCTTGACCTCGGACACAGAAAGCTCTTCAACGGTCCGGTGAAGCTGGGCTTGGGTAGAGGAATTGAGGACAAGGCTGCGGTTTGTCCGTCGTGCAGCCAGCTGCTCGTCAGCTCACTCCACGCTTCCAGCCTTGATCTGCATCATCTGACCTGCCGCTGCAACCTGCACCAAGAATCTTCTGAACACTTCGGCCAAACGCCAATTGCCAAGCATGTGATGCCTTCTCAGTTTCTCTCTGATGCTTCGTACTGCGAGGCCTGGATTTCGACAACTTGTTCAACGAGAATGTGCGAAGACCGTTGGCGAATGCAGCAAAGCTCATCCAATCGATGAGCTGGGCTGGGAAGCTGGCAGTAGGAACCCGAACGCGAAACCTTGGACAAGAACACGCGCTGTCCCTGTTTCCTCTTTCCTCCCTGCCCTGCCCATCTCTCGGCACGTTCCGTTCTCTGGGATGGCGGCTGCGAGTAGTACTGGGAGGCCCCGGACCTGGCCAAGGGAGAAAGGAGGAAAAATATGAGGCCCACCCCCGGGCCCCGCTTGCTTCCCTTGCGCTTGGATCCCCACAAAGCGTCGAAGGACTGGGGGAATGCGTTGTTGAAGGCTGGCAGTCCGTCTGCCCGCCAGACCTTTCCAAAAACCGCCCCTCCGTGATGGCTTCTCAGAAATACAGCGAGGCCACGGCCGGAAGGCCGTCCTCCGTCCGCTCCCTCAGCGAGATTTGCAGTGCTTGCCGCTTCCAAGCGGGCTTTCCTCGAGATCCCAGCGACGCGAAGCCACCAGGACCAGTCACGGGTTCGGCCAGGCGCGGTGCCTCCAGCAATCAACGGTCAGGGATGCGCAATGATTTCCTTGTGAATGTGCGGAAGGGGCTACCGGACCGGTGCCCAAATGATGCCCAGGCTTGTGTTCACCAGATACGTCTATGGAGGCCTATGTCAGCTCTATCTAGCACACGCCTTGCTTCCTCCGCCCCAGCCATTCCAAACACACCATCAAGTCCGGAAGCCGCAAGTCTTGACCAATTTCAGCTGCCAGTGGTTTGCCTGCCTGCTGCCCGTAGTCCTGAGAGCTCTGGGCCCTGCGTGATGATCTGGCCTGCAGCAACCAAGCTGCGAGTCTGCTCACGTCACTAACTACATACCTGCACGAGGTCTTCAGTGCAAGATCTCGACACGGATCGACACAAACTTCTTCAAGCTGCATGGTCACATCCCGCAAGGACACGACCGGCCTGCGAATGGCCCGGCTCCGCCTGGGGCACTGCGTTCGCTCTCTGCGCTTTTCGAGAGAGCTGAGCAGATTCAGGCCGAAGACCACGCAAGTAAGACTAAGACCTAAGACAGGCATCTACTACTTCAGAATCGCCCCCGTTCCGCTCGATCTTTGCTTATATACTCGGGTACCCAATGAACCCATTCCAAGGACCCCGCTGACCCGGCCTGGGCCGGAGCGCTCACTCGCGCGACAATATCTGTGTCACGCTTCAAGGCCTGCAAGGGTGCGAATCCTTAAAAACCGTGATTCCTCCATCTGCGGGCTCTTCATTCACTGTTTGGAATGCGTGTTAGCCGGGGGATTCAGGTGCAATCGAGCTTT